GCAGGAGCCAGAATTGTTCCTTCAGTATCCAAACTTATGATAAATATGATAAGCACAGGGAGCTACGGAGTTAGTAAGTGAAGCCTCTAGTATTTTATAAAAAGCATTTGAAATTATGTTCTAGCAAGAAGAAGGCTTGATCATAGTAAATGGAGATAAGGTTGCCAAGCCCCCAGTGGGTACAGGGATCCACCTCCCAAAGGGCCCATTGTCTGCCTCTGCTTGGTATGGTGTCAGGAGAAAACTTACAGAGAAAAATATGGCCTTCTCTACTTCCAGGAAGTTCTTATCATAGATTTCCTGGTGATTTCCAGAGCTACCTGGAAGTGGCAAAAGTTAGCTCTAGGAATCACCAGAAACTCTATGGTAAAAACTTCTTAAGAAGTAGAAAAGGCCTTATTTTTCTTGTTAATTTTTATTCTGAGATGCTGCCTCCTCCCCAACCCACCTGTTGGTTTCCAGGAACTGCCTGGCAACCCTAGCTGGAGATAATTATAGGATAGACAGTTAGACCCCCCCAAAGTATTTCATTATGGATGGCACCAGGTACAGCAGAATCATTAAACCAGCTATAGTTCAACACTTCCATGTCCAATTGAATCTGCAGTAAATTTTCAAGAGACTTAATTTTTTATTGTAAAAGTTAGCATTTGGTGGCACAAAAAACATTTGGGAATCTCCAGGTTTCCACTCTTCCACACATTTTCTCAAATCTGATCTGACCAGCAGAACTAGAATGTGTGTTTTAGCGGACAGAACTTAATTAAGTGTATAAGACACAAGTGTTTGGGAAAGATTTCAGTGGGTCCATAATGGATGTGATGGTCCAATTGTTACAAGTAAGAATCCTTTTCATGACACACCATCCCTATTCAATGTCTTTTTGTGTAAACACTCTTAGGGTTGTTACATTGTAACTTATTTCTCCTTGATAGCTGCTCCTTGCAGTTTAATTCAGGCCTCAGGATTATTATGAAGCATTTTGGGAAAAAGATGAAACCTAGTAATCCAGCACTGGAGGCCAAAATGGAGAAGATCTCCAGAGCCACCATGTATTTCCCTTTGGTGCTAAGATAAGTTGGGACAAATGATGCCCACAGACTGCAAAACAACAGCATACTGAAAGTGATAAATTTGGCTTCATTAAAGGAATCAGGCAGTGTTCTAGCAAAGAAAGCCACAATGAAGCTGACAAGCGCAAGAAATCCCATGTAGCCAAGAAC